GCTCCCTCCCTCAGCAACCCCCGGGCCGCCAAGATGGCGGGGAGGGAGCGGGGCTGGGATAACAGCGGGGTAACAGCGGGGTAACAGCGGGGTAACAGCGGGATAACAGCGGGATAACATGGGGATAACAGCGGGGTAACAGCGGGGTAACAGCGGGATAACAGCGGGGTAACAGCGGGATAACAGCGGGATAACATGGGGATAACAGCGGGGTAACAGCGGGATAACAGCGGGGTAACAGCGGGGATAACAGCGGGGTAACAGCGGGGTAACAGCGGGGTAACATGGGGATAACAGCGGGGTAACATGGGGATAACAGCGGGATAACAACGGGATAACATGGGGGTAACAGCGGGGTAACAGCGGGATAACGGGGATGGTTCCCTAACACCCCTCGGGACACCCGGATCCACAGAGGGAATTTCAGGGATCCACGGAGGGAATCTCAAGGGATCCACAGAGGGGATTTCCAGGGATCCACAGAGGGGATTTCAGGGATCCACAGAGGGGGTTTCAGGGGATCCACAGAGGGGGTTTCAAGGATACAGGTGCAGCTGCAATATCTCAGCTTGTGGCCGCTGTGCCAGCCCCGATAGCGAATCATCCACAATAAATAAAATAGGTGATAACCAGGGACAGGGCGAGTTGGAAGGGACCCACGAGCAACATCGAGTCCGACTCCACCCTGCACAGAGCAGCCCCAAGAAAACTAATAAACAATAATAAATAATGAATCTTCTCCTTCTGGTCTTTAATTGACGCGATGCCATCGGCTCTCGACAGCGGGAATTACTTAGCTTGTGTTGTCATTTGAAAGCAGATACTGATTTACTGCTGGGACTTTGTAAAGACAAATGCATAAAACCTTATTTTATTTAGCAGAAGTATTGACAATTAAAGCATGCAGGCTTTTTTGTCTCAGCTGGAATTGTTTTCACTTGTGCCTTTCTGCAGCTGAGTCCCAGGGCCCTAGTGAAATACATCAGAAAGTTGTGAGTTATTGCAACAGTGAGGAATATTGCCTTATAACCTTCCCTGCTGGACAGGGTCAGGATGTTACAGACGTGGGCATTACCCAGTGTCCAGCCGATGGATAAAGAGGAGTGGAGCCAGTTCTGTTCTCCTGAGGAGCTCAGGGGAGAGCTGTCCAAGGCAGAACAGAAGAGTTGTACGTGTTTAGCTGTCCAAGGAGCAGGTTCTGGTGTTTGTGTGAGCATCCCTGCCGCTCTGCTGCTGCTGTGCTGTGCTGTGCTGCTCTCCTGTGTTCTGCTGCTCTCTGCTGCTGTGCTGCACTCTCCTGTGCTGTGCTGCTCTCCTGTGCTGCTCTCCTGTGTTCTGCTGCTCTCCTGTGCTGTGCTGTGCTGTGCTGTGCTGTGCCTCTCTCCTGTGCACAGCAGCCCAAACCCCGCTGCCATCTGAGCACTCCTGTCTCCATCCCCACAAGGGCTCGGTCATTAACCTCCCTGGAAATGGAACCACACGTGTATTTCATGCTGAGCCTTTCCTGGAACGAGGTTCATCATTAACCAGCCAGCTGCTCCTGCGTGCTCTCCCAGCTGCTGCTGCATCCCCAGGCTGTTGCTGTGGGACCGTGTGAGGTGTCCTGCCCACGGCAGGGCTGGAGTGGGATGAGCCCCAAGGTCCCTGGCAGCCCAAACCCATCTGTGAGCTTCTGATTCTCCCATTTTGTTCCATTTGGAGAGCTAATAAAGAAGCTAATTTTAATTAGGTTTAATAAGAAGCTTATTCTTTAATTCTAAAGGAGTTAATAAGTTATTCTAAAGAAGTTAATAAAGTTAATAAAGAAGCTGTGGTGTGGCTGCTGGCGTGGCAGGGCAGTGCTGAGTGTCCTGGGTCATGTCTGTCCCATCCTCAGCAATCCCCATCTCTTTGTGCCGTTCCTGTGGTGGCTGCACAGGGTGATGGATCCTGCCCGTGTCACAGTGAGCTCAGAACCTTGTGCTGGCACAGCTGGACAGGGCTGAGAGCAAACCCAGAGTGCTCTTACAGTGGAGGAAACTCTTCCAGTGCGAATCAGAAACACCAAGCGTGAAAATTCTTTCAGCTCTTCTTTATTTACTGACTTCAAGCTCCTCAAGTCCATTCCCATTTCTGTACAGCTCAGCCCATGGAAGTTGCCAGAGGAATTCTTCTCCTGAGCGCTTGCCAGCTGAAAAACAAACCCCAATTCTTTCAGTGATGCAAACCGCTGCTGGGCTCTTGCTGTAGGTCTTACAACACTGCCTGCAACGTGACTTGTTTTGCTTACAAACTCCCACCAAGTGTTGCAATTCAGCTCTAAAAATAGAAAACAGTTTTATTTATCCCAGAGCCCTTGTTGTCACAGCTCTCAGAGCCACAGCCGGTCCTGTTGTCTCCAAGTGCCACTCCACGTCCCTTTGGCTGAGCAGGGAACAGGCGGGAGGAGCACAGCTTCGGTGATCCACAAAAACAGGAACAAGTTTCTAAAGAATCTGGTTAGCACTCACATATTTGTCCTGCACAGTTGTGAGCTTTGGATGGAGGGAAAATGAAGATTTTCAATGGAAAGTAACAGATACTAAAGTATTGTTTAAGGGGGGAATAAACCCCAGAGCTCCTTTCCAAAACTGGACCTGTGCTCCAGGGCAGGTTTCTGCTCCCCAGCCCTGCCCTCAGGTCACTCTGTCATTCCGGTCAGCACTTCATGGCTCTACACTGGGAACAGTTCCCACTCTTCTTCCCAGTCTTCCCTGTTTCTCATGTCAGGAAAACACAAAATCAAACAAATACACCCCATTGGCTTGTAGAGAACTTTGTGTTGTGGGGCTGTTAGAAGTATCTTGTACCCAAATGTGTTTATTTCATGTGTATTTGTGATTTTTTCTGATGGAAAGGGGAATTTTCAGTGAGTATGGACCATGGCTGTTTCCTCAGCGATGAGAGGCAGTGGGACAGAGCACACTGGGGGTTACAGACCTGCTTTATACCCGTGCATTTTAGTCCTCAAATGGAACCTTGCAGGCCTTTCTGTTTCCTGGCTATTATAGCATTTTCCCACCTTCCCAGCACTCCCAGGTGAGTTCAGAGTGTGCTGTACCCAGGAGAGCTGTTCCTGATGGGGATAACCCCGTGCCTGGCCCTGCACTTCCACAGGTGGGGATTTCCATAGAACGTGGAGTGAGTGCAGAGGAGCTCCCCTGCCCTGGAGCCAGGCTGGGAGAGCTGGGGGGCTCAGCTGGAGAGGAGAAGCTCCAGGGAAACCTCTGAGCCCTGCCAGGGCCTGAAGGGGCTCCAGGAGAGCTGGAGAGGGACTGGGGACAAGGGATGGAGGGACAGGACACAGGGAATGGCTGCCAGTGCCAGAGGGCAGGGCTGGGTGGGATTTTGGGCAGGAATTGTTCCTGGCAGGGTGGGCAGGCCCTGGCACAGGTGCCCAGAGCAGCTGGGGCTGCCCCTGGATCCCTGGCAGTGCCCAAGGCCAGGCTGGACATTGGGGCTGGAGCAGCTGGGACAGGGGAAGGTGTCCCTGCCATGGCTGGGGTGGGATGGGGG